GTGTGTATAATGTGTCTTTACTTTGATGTCAACCTATAGAAAACTCAATATTTATATTTGTATTACCCTCATTCCTTACCTAGTTTATTGAATAGCCTTTTATTCAATAAAATAGAAAAATAACTATTTTAGCCTTGTGAAAATGGTTTGTGTTTAAATAGGTTTTCTAGCCCAGTTCAATGGCTCATACCAGTAATCCCAGCACTTTGGGAGGCTGAAGCAGGAGGATTGCTTGAAGCCAGGAGTTCAAGACCAGCCTGGGCAAAATAGTGAGACCTGGTCTCTAAATACAAAACTAAAAAATTGCCGAGTGCAGTGGCTCACGCCTGTAATTCCAGCAGTTTGTGAGGCCGAGGTGGGCGGATCACGAGGTCAAGAGATCAAGACCATCCTAGCCAACATGGTGAAACCCCATCTCTACTAAAAATACAAAAATTATCTGGGCATGGTGGCAGGCACCTGTGATCCCAGCTACTTGGGAGGCTAAGACAGGAAAATTGCTTGAACCCAGGAGGCGGAGGTTGTAGTGAGCCGAGATCACGCCACTGCACTCCAGCCTGGGTGACTGAGCGAGACTCCATCTCAAAAATAATAATAATAATAATAATGATTTAATTAACCAGGCATGGTCACAAACACCTGTGGTCCCAGCTAGTCAGGAGGCTGAGGCAGGAGGATTGAAGTTGAAGGCGTTCAACTCCCAGGAGTTGAAGGCTGCAGTGAGCTATGATTGCACCACTGCACTCCAGCCTGGGCAACAGAGTGAGACACTATCTTATAAAAGTAAATAATAAATAAATGGGATTTATATTTATAAACCAAAACAACATTTTTTGTTCAATTGGATTTAGTACACCCTGATGTTTTTGCAACTTTTTGCTGATTATGCTTTTTTAGAGAATATAACTTATGAGTGAATATAACTTATTAGGAGGCCTCAAGATATATATTAAATTAGATAGTAACCAGAGCATAAATGTAACAGACATTTAGCCATTTGTTATTACAAGATTCTGCAGAGACCTTTTCATGTTTGACCTGAGATGTTTAAAGTGTGTTTTTAATTCTCTGTGCTCCTAAAAAGCATACATATCAGTACGTCTGTGGGTTAATGAACTAGAGTACTAAGAGATAGGCATGCTTGGTTTATTGTTCCACCGAAAGTACCTTTTGTCCTATATTATGATCCTCTTCCTTCCTGCAATAAATTTCAGAAATAAGAGATGAGCAAATCTTCTTTTTGAGATTAACATGAAACATAACAAAGTTAGAATAATAGGGACTGGTTGGAGGCCGGGTGCGGTGGCTCACACCTGTAATCCTAACACTTTGGTAGGCAAAGGTGGGCGGATCACCTGAGGTCAGGAGTTCAAGACCAGCCTGGCCAACAACGTGAAACTCTGTTTCTACTAAAAATACAAAAATTAGTTGGTCCTGGTGGCACGTGCCTGTAATCTCAGCTACTCCGGAGGCTGAAAGGGGAGAATCACTTGAACCTGGGAGGCAGAGGTTGCAGTTAGCTGAGATCAGGCCACTGCACTCCAGGCTGGGAGACAGAGCAAGACTCCGTCTGAAAAAAAAAAAAAAGAAGAAGAAGAATAGGGACTAGTTGGGAAGTTAGACTGATTGTTTACTGAAAGTGGGAAAAGATAATTTAGTTTTTCACATAACTAAAATCTTATAGAAAACTTGCTAAATTTAACGAATAGGTAAGAATAATTTATATTTAGTATTATCAAAGCACTAACCTAAGCAATTCTTACTTCAAGAGAAATTACAGGTTAATTATAAATAGATATTAAAATGCTTTGGAGACTGGGCACGTTCACTCACGGCTGTAATCCCAGCACTTTGGTAGGCCAAGGTGGGCAGATCACCTGAGGTCAGGAGTTCAAGACCAGCCTGGCTAACATGGTGAAACCCCCATCTCTACTAGAAATACAAAAATTAGCTGGGCGTGGTGGTGCACGTCTGTAATCCCAGCTACTTGGGAGGCTGAGGCAAGAGAATCACTTGGACCAGCCTGGCTGATATGGTGAAACCCCATCTCTACCAAAAATACAAAAACAATTAGCCAGATGTGGTAGCACATGCCTGTAATCCCAGCTACTCAGGAGGCTGAGGCAGGAGAATTGCTTGAACCTAGGAGGTGGAGGTTGCAATGAGCCAAGATCACGCCACTGCACTCCAGCCTGGGCGACAGAGCGAGACTCCTTCTCAAACAGCAACAACAACAACAACAAAATGCTTTGGAAATACGCTTCACATTATTTGGTTCCTTTTAGAGATAGGGTCTCACTGTGTTGCCCAGGCCAGAATCAAAGTTCTGCGCTCCAATCACCGATTTGACTATCCTGGACTTGCAGCTTTCTTGAGTTAGTTTGGGACTATAGGTTGTACGACCACCACCCCCACCCTGATGGGCTCAGGGAATTTTTTTTTTATATAACTAGGATAGGTGCCAGTTCCTCCTTCTTTTAGACGGCCCTCCTTACTTGTAAAAGTGGGCCAGATTTTAGCTTTTCAAACTTTAATGTGTGTGAAGATCACATGAGTATCATTAAAATGCAGATTTTTGCTTCAGTGGGAATCTGAATTTCCATCAAGCTTCCTGATAATGCTGATTCTTGTAGTCTACCAGTAGCAAGGAGCCAGTTGGTTTCTATATGTGTTCAACACAGAATTTAGTAATACCTAGTCAGGGCTCAGTGGTACATACCTTAGTCCCAGCTACTTGAGGGGCTAAGGTGGGAGGATTGCTGGGGCCCAGGAGTTCAAGTCCAGCCTGGGCAACATAGGGAGACCCTGTCTCTTCGGGGGGAAAAAAGTTAGCAAAATCTTACTAATTCCAATTGTGGTAGTGAGACAAGGGATAAAATGAAGCTTATCTTTTATTTAGTCAAGACTTTTTGGTTGAAAGGAATAGACATCAGTTTAAACTAAGAAAAATAAAAAGGAAGATTGTTAAACAAGAGAAAAAGAATATAAGAAATAATCTCACTGAGCAAGAAATAGAGGTAGGCATCAGGGGAAGTGGAACATTAGAAATCAGCAAGTAACTTAGCTATATTTCCCAATTCTGCTTCTCTGGGTTTCTGTTCCAACCTCTCCTATTTTCTGATACATGTCTTTGGCTTACCACTTTGGCTTACTGTGTCCTCCACCATTTAACCTTTTAGCTCCAAGTCCCACTGTCCCTTGACAACCAGTATCTCTTTTTTTTCAAATTATCAAGAGAAAATCTGGTCAGCCAGTAATGATTTGTTTCTACTTGGGTCAAGTGTCCAACCCTGGGCCAGAGAGCCTTCTGGGTTTGGGAGAGTAGAATGTAAGAATAGGGGGTCCTGAGATTGGCCCCCTTATGGGACAAGGGAAGGGTGTTAATTCAAAGGAAGGGAGACGGGGTAGAGCAGCAATGACAGCTGTCTAATACACATTTATAAACTTTTATGAAGAAGGATTTGCTAAAGTAGTAGAGTATAGGCAGTTCAGTACTTTTAGGATACTTCATAAAAGTATGTTTGAAAGCCACCTGTGCAATAGTTGAATCCATTTTAAGGGAACTAAAAATCATAAATCTGAATTATAGTATGCTTTTTTTTTTTTTTTTTTTTTAAGAAACGGAGTCTCGCTTTGTCACCTAGGCTGGAGTGCAGTGGTATGATCTCGGCTCACTGCAAGCTCCACCTCCCGGATTCACGCCATTCTCCTGCCTCAGCCTCCCAAGTAGCTGGGACTACAGGTGCCTGCCACCACACCCAGCTAATTTTTTGTATTTTTAGGAGAGACAAGGTTTCACCGTGTTAGCTAGGATGGTCTCGATCTCCTGACCTTGTGATCCGCCCACCTCGGCCTCCCAGAGTGCTGGGATTACAGGCATGGGCCATCGTGCCCGGACATATAGTATACATATTTTTAAATACTTTTGAGTATTATCAGTGTACACAAGGGATAATGGTAAAATAAAAATTGAGTCACCCACTCCTACCTCTTCCCCAGTGAGCACAATGTAAAGTTGTCCTGGCCTCCGCGCTATTGACCAGTTCCTGGCAGAACAGCCCTGTACTTCCTTCTACTTACTGTTTCCTGAATCTCATTCTGTACTTTTATTGTTCATATAATTTTTTAAGCTAATACTGAGATTACCTTTTGTGGGACTACAAATATTCTCCCATTGTTGGAGTTACAGAGGTACCCAAAACATTTGAGATTCAAGTTTATATTCTGATGCATTTGGTATAAAGAGAAAGTGTAACATTTCTCCAGTTGCATTTGTGAATATCTGTGTTCTTAAAACAGTTGAAGTAATTGCCAAATTACCTCATTTTTCCAAAAGGGCCATTTTGTCTATGCTGTTGGCTCCCAGTATAGAAATATGAAATTGACAGTATGTGATAAAATTTAGAACATTTAGAACAATGTTCTTTTTTTCCCCTTTGGCTTATCAGTAAGCCAGTGCTACAGACTCTGGTGTTCTGCTTTTTCATACTTCTAAAATGGATGTATCCCCCAAAAGTAATATGTCCAGTTAATAAACTTCAAGTACTGTACAGTGCTTAAATTTAATTAATTTTTTTTTTTGAGATGAAGTTTTGCTCTTGTTGCCCGGTCTGGAGTGCAATGGCTCTTATCTCCACTCACTGCAACCTCCACCTCCCGAATTCAAGCGATTCTCCTGCCTTAGCCTCTCAAATAGCTGGGATTATAGGCATGCACCACCATGCCCAGCTAATTTTGTATTTTTAGTAGAGACAGAGTTTCTCCATGTTGGTCAGGTTGGTCTCGAACTCCCAATCTCAAGTGATTTGCCTGCCTCGGCTTCCCAAAGTGCTGGGATTACAGGCGTAAGCCACCACGCCCAGCCCAGTGCTTAAATTTAATGTCACATCGTTTTAGGCAAAAGTACACACCATTATCTGGAAGGAAAGCATTTATAGAAATTACTTGCTGGCATGTCTTTCTTTATATTTATCTTAATTATACCTTCTTTTTTCTTTCAGAAAAATCCTGGGCAGAAGCTGGATCAGCAAGAATGTCACTCCTTATATTGGTGTCCATTTTCTTATCTGCAGCTTTTGTTATGTTTTTGGTATATAAAAATTTTCCTCAGCTTAGTGAGTAAGTATGGGAAATAAACTGAAAATGTATAGATATTTATAAGATGAAAGTGGATTAAGGCCAAGTGCAGTGGCTGACACCTGTAATCTCAACACTTTGGGAGGCCGAAGTGGATGGATTGGTTGAGTCCAGGAGTGTGAGACCAGCCTGGGCAACACGACAAAACCCATGTGGAAATACATACATAAATATGTGTGTGTGTATATTATATATATATGTTAAAATATACACACACACACACACACATATATATATATTTTTTGAGACAGAGTCTTGCCCTGTCGTCCAAGCTGGAGTGCAGTGGCGTGATCTGAGCTCACTGTAAGCTCTGCCTCCCAGATTCAAGCAATTCTGCCTCAGCCACCCGAGTAGCTGGGATTATAGGGGTGGGCCACCTCATCCAGTTAATTTTTGTATTTTTAGTAGAGACGGGTTTCACCATGTTGGCCAGGCTGGTCTCAAACTCCTGACCTCAGGTGATCCACCTGCTTTGGCCTCCCAAAGTGCTGGGATTATAGGCGTGAGCCACTGTGCCCAGCCTGGAAATACATTTTAGAAGGGCAAAATATCCCAGAGCTATTAAACCCTAGTAATACCACCCTGTTATAATCATAGATTATATAAAGGACTACTAAGATGTAGTTAGACTTTCAACCAGGGCCAGCCTGATGTGGTAATGGAGAACTATGAAATGTGTTTTAAAAGTATCAGGAAGGACATGTTTTCTCCAAATTGCCTTCAATCATAATTCTTTTTTTTTTTTTCTTTTCTTCATTTTTCATTTTTTTTCTTTTCTTCACTCTATCGCCCAGGCTGGAGCACAGTGGTATTAATTTTGGCTTACTGCAATCTCTGCCTCCTCTTCTGAGTTGAAGGGATTTTTGTGCTTCAGCCCCCTGAGTAGTTGGGATTATAGGTGTGCACCACCATGGCTGGCTAATTTTTATATTTTTAGTAGACATGGGGTTTTACCATGTTGGCCAGGCTGGTCCCAAACTCCTGGCCTCAAGTGATCCGCCCACCTTGGCCTCCCAGAGTACTAGGATTACAGGCGTGAGCCACTGTGCGCAGCCCACAATTTTTTTTTTTTTTTTTTTTTTTTTTGGAGACTGAGTTTCGAGATTGTTGCCCAGGCTGGAGTGCAATGGTGCCGTCTCAGCTCACTGCAACCTCCACCTCCTGGGTTCAGGCAATTCTCTTGCCTCAGTCTCCCAAGTAGTTGGAATTAACAGGTTTGCGCCACCACACTTGGCTAATTTTTGTATTTTTAGTAGAGTTGTGGTTTTGCCATGTTGGCCAGGCTGGTCTTGAGCTCCTGGCCTCATGTGATCTGTCCACCTTGACCTCCCAAAGTGCTAGGATTACAGGCGTGAGCCACTGTGCCCAGCCTAGAGTCTTTTTAGTTTTATAAATTTCATAAGTAGGAACCTTTAGTTTACTGGGTGTCTTGTTTGACTTGAGAAAACAGCACTGGGGCTCACACCTCTTTTTTTTTGTTTTGTTTTGTTTTAAGGCAGGGTCTTGCTCTGTTACCCAGGCTGAAGTGTAGTAGCACAGTTACGGCTGTCTGCAGCCTCAACCTCCTGGGCTGAAGCGATCCCCTACCTCAATTTCCCAAGTAGCTAGGAGGAGAGGCCTGTACCACCATGCTCTGCTAGTTTTTAAATTTTTTTGTAGAGACGTGGTGGGTGCTGGGATTACAGGTGTGAGTCGCTTTTCCCAGTCATAGCTCAGTTAAATTTTTTTTACCATGTAAACAAATGAGGGCTCATGCCTGTAATCCTAGCACTTTGGGAGGCTGAGGTGGGAGGATCATTTGAATCCAGGAGTTTGAGAACAGCCTGGGTCACGTAGCGAGGCCCCGTCTGTCTAAAAAAATTTTTTTTTTTTGAGACAGTCTTACTGTTGCCCAAGCTGGAGTGCAGTGGTGCAGTCTTGGCTCACTGCAACCTCCGCCTCCCAGGCTGAAGCGTTCTCCTGCCTCAGTCTCCCAAGTAGCTGGGACTACAGGCACACGCCGCCATACCTAGCTAATTTTTTTGTATTTTAGTAAAGACCGAAGTTTCACCTTGTTGCCTAGGCTGGTCGTGAACTCCTGAGCTCAGACAATCCGCCCACCTTGTCTTCCCAGAGTGCTGGGATTACAGGCGTGAGCCACCGCGCCCGGCCAAAAAACTTTTTTTTGAGATGGAGTCTCACTTGCTCTGTTACCCAAGCTGGAGTGCAGTGGTGCAATCTCGGCTCACTGCAGCCCTTGCCTCCCAGTTCAAGCGACTCTCCTGTCTCAGCCTCCCAAGTAGCTGGAACTGTAGGTGTGTGCCACCATGCCCGGCTAATTTTTGTATTTTTAGTACAGATAGGGTTTCACCATGCTGCCCAGGCTGGTGTTGAACTCCTAACCTCGTGATCCACCCGTCTTGGACTCCCAAAGTGCTGGGATTACAGGTGTGATCCACTGTGCCCGGCCTATAAAATTTTTAAAACTAGCACAGTGGCCTGGCTTGGTGGCTTGTGCCTGTAACCCCAACGCTTTGGGAGGCTGAGGTAGGTAGATCACCTGAGGTCAGGAGTTCGAGACCAGCCTGTCTTAACATGGTGAAACCCCATCTCTACTAAAAATGCAAAAATTAGCCAGGCGTGGTGGCAGGTGCCTGTAGTCCCAGCTACTTGGGAGGCCAAGGCAGGAGAATGGTGTGAACCTGGGAGGCGGGGCTTGCAGTGAGTCGAGATAGCGCCACTGTACTCCAACCTGGGTGACAGAGCGAGACTGCGGTGGCTCAATCCTGTAATCCCAGCACTTTGGGAGGCCGAGACGGGCGGATCACGAGGTCAGGAGATCGAGACCATCCTGGCTAACACGGTGAAACCCCGTCTCTACTAAAAAAAATACAAAAAACTAGCCGGGCGAGGTGGCGGGCGCCTGTAGTCCCAGCTACTCGGGAGGCTGAGGCAGGAGAATGGCGTGAACCCAGGAGGCGGAGCTTGCAGTGAGCTGAGATCCGGCCACTGCACTCCAGCCTGGGCGACAGAGCGAAACTCCGTCTCAAAAAAAAAAAAAAAAAAAACTAGCAAAGCATAGTGGCACGTGCCTGCAGTACCAGCTACTCAGTAGGCTGAGGTGAGAGGATCGCTTGAACCTAGGAGATGGAGGTAATAGTGAACTATGATCGTGCCATTGCACTACATCCAGCCTGGGTGACAAAGCATGGGAGCCTGCCTGTAGAACAAACAAACAACACAAATGATCATAATATGCATGAAACACAAAGGTGATTATTCGATGCTTCCCTAAGCAAGAAATCATTCAGTTCCAAACAAAGTGCCAAATATAGAGTAAAATGGAAAACTTGCAGTTTTTTGTGAATTCAAGAAAGTAAACTATGAATTTGTTACATTTTTACTTAATTTTCATTGTAAATTATTATTTGGTTTATCATCAGGATTACCCAAAATGATGTTAAATGTTTTTAATATACTAACATCTGTGGTTCATTTGTTTTTTTCTTTTTCCTTTTTCTCTTTTTTTTTTTTGAGATTTTTGAGAGAGTCTCACTCTGTTGCCCAGGCTGGAGGGCAGTGGCACGATCTCGGCTCACTGCAACCTCTGCCTCCTGGGTTCAAGTGATTCTCCTGCCCCAGCCTCCCGAGTAGCTGGGATTACAGGTGTGCACCACCACACCCAGCTAATTTTTGTATTTTTAGTAGAGACGGGATTTCAACATGTTGGCCAGGCTGGTCTCGAACTCCTGACCTCAGGCGATCCACCCGCCTCAGCCTCCCAAAGTGCTGGGATTACAGGCGTGAGCCACCACGTGCCTGGTCAGTGGCTCATTTCTTATATTCAAGTCAAAATTTATTTCGATGTTGGAACAAATGCCTTTAACCCTTGGTTTGTGTCATCCAGAACTTTCATGTATAAATTACCTGTCTGATTCTGCTGAGACATTAAAAAGAAAAAATTGCCTGTCTCATGAAATTATATTAAAGCATTAAAAAATAATTTATAGCCGGGTACAGTGGCTCACTCCTGTAATCCTAGCACATTGGGAGGCCAAGGCGGGCAGATTACCTGAGGTCAGGAGTTTGAGACCAGCCTGGCCAACATGATGAAACCCCGTCTCTACTAAAAATACAAAAATTAGCCAGGCATGGTGGGATGTGCCTATAATCCCAGCTACTTGGGAGGCTGAGGCAGGAAACTCACCTGAACCTGGGAGGTGGAGGTTGCGGTGAGCCGAGATCATGCTAATGCACTCCAGCCTGGGCAACAGTGTGAGACTCTGTGTCAAAAAAATAATAAAAATAAAATAAAATTAATACTAATTTATAGGCCAGGTGCGGTGGCTCATTTCTGTAATCCTAGCACTTTGGGAGGCTGAGGCAGGAGGATCACTTGAGCACAGGAATTTGAAACTAGCCTGGCAACATGGTGAAACTCCCTCTCTACTAAAAATACAAAAATTAACTGGCATGGTGGTGCACACCTGTGATCCCAGCTACTGAGAGGGCTGCGGCAGGAGAATCGTTTGTACCTAGGAGGCGGAGATTGCAGTGAACTGAGATTCCACCACTGCTCTGCAGCCTGGGCAACAGAGCAAGACTATGTAAATGAAGAAAACATTATAAACTTTTAAACTTAAAAATTGCTAATTTAGACAACAGATCAAGGCATCAAATCATTTTGGATAAAACTTCATGTTGTGAACTTGACTTTGATATTATCTTGGCAAAATTCTGTTCTAAAATTTTTCACTTTATTTCTTTAGAGAAGAAAGAGTGAATATGAAGGTTCCCAGAGATATGGATGATGCCAAGGCTCTAGGAAAAGTTTTATCCAAATATAAGGACACCTTTTATGTTCAAGTACTTGTAGCTTATTTTGCTACATATATTTTGTATCCTTTTAACTGAAAAAATGTTTTCTAATTTTGTTCAAGAAAAAGTGTAAAAGGTCTGCTCTTCATTTATACATATTTTCCTTTTAAAATTTGTTATTGCAGTGTAACAATATTAAATAATTGAAAATTTGAAATGGAAAAAAATTATCACTTTAATCCTGTTTCCTGGACTGTTTTTATGTCTGAATATTTATCACAAGTTCTTTTGATTCTTTTGTATTCTGCTTTTTTCACTTATCAAACATTTTCCTTTACTGCATATTATTTTATGGATTTGATTTATAATTGTATTAATTAACTGATGATATTAGTTTATATAATTATTTTAAATTATTAGTCAAAATAGTATTTTTATAATTGTTCTCTTAGGTTTGTAGATATAATGTGTTAATTTTTATAGGTATGTATTATGAATCTCCTTTGTTCATGATTTTTTTCTTGCATTGTTTCCTTTGTAAAAATTCTTAAGATACTTATTCAAAGGAATGAATTTTTTTTACAATTTGATATATATTTATTTTATAGAAATAGATTACATTTTAACTAGTCAGGAAAATAGCCTTATTTCAAATGGCTTATGCTGTGGGTGCTTAATTTTGCAAATTGTGGAGTTTAATTTTTCATTTCTGATTTGTTAATATCTTTTATTCTTATCCAAACTATTTTCCAGATCTTCTCAGTTAATGAAAGACATTACCTCTTGATGTTATAAAAATAATCATCATTTTTAAACCAATTTTTTTTTTTTCTTTTTGAGGTGGAGTTTCGCTCTTGTCACACAGGCTGGAGTGCAATGGTGCAATCTCTAGTCACTGCAACCTCTACCTCCTGGGTTTAAGCGATTCTCCAGTCTCAGCCTCCCAAGTAGCTGGGATTACGTGCGCCTGCCGCCATGCTCGTCTAATTTTTGTATTTTCAGTAGAGGCGGGGTTTCACCATGTTGACCAGGATCGTCTCAAACCCGTGACATCAGGTGATCCGCCCACCTCAGCCTCCCAAAATGCTGGGATTACAGGCGTGAGCCACCGCGCCTGGCAGAAAAGGAATTATTTTAATGATATTAAACAATTTGGACGTTGAAAAATGTGGGGTTTTTATTTTTATTTTATTGATTTATTTATTTTTTGAGACAAAGTCTCGCTCTTGTTGCCGAAGCTAGAGTGCAGTGGCGCAATCTGGGCTCACTGCAACCTCTGCCTCCTGTGCTCAAGCGATTCTCCTGTCTCAGCCTCCTGAGTAGCTGGGACTACAGGAGCGTGCCACCATTGCCAGCTAATTTTTGTGTTTTTAGTAGAGACAGTGTTTCACCATATTGATCAGGCTGGTCTCGAACTCCTGACCTCAGGTGATCCACCTGCCTCAGCCTCCCAAAGTGCTGCGATTACAGGCGTAAGCCACTGCACCTGGCCTATATTTATTTATTTTTGAGATGGAGTCTCACTCTGTTACCCAGGCTGGAGTGTAATGGCATGATCTCGGCTTACCACAACTTCCGCCTCCCAGGTTCAAGCATTCTGCTGCCTCAGCCTCCCAAATAGCTGGGACTACAGGCACGCACCACCACTCCTGGCTAGTTTTTGTTTTTTGTTTTTTATTGAGACAGAGTCTCGCTCTGTCGCCCAGGCTGGAGTGCAGTGGCACGATCTCGGCTCACTGCAAGCTCCGCCTCCCGGGATCACGCCATTCTCCTGCCTCAGCCTCCCGAGTAGATGGGACTACAGGTGCCTGCCACCACGTCTGGCTAATTTTTTGTACTTTTTTAGTAGAGACGGGGTTTCACCGTGTTAGCCAGGATGGTCTTGATCTCCTGACCTCGTGATCCGCCTGCCTCGGCCTCCCAGAGTGCTGGGATTACAGGCGTGAGCCACCGCACCCGACCAGTTTTTGTATTTTTAGTAAGAAACAGGATTTCACTATGTTGGGCAGGCTGGTCTCGAACTCCTGACCTCATGATTCTCCCACCTGGGCCTCCCAAAGCGCTGGGATTACAGGCGTGAGCAACCGCACCCAGCCTTATTTTTATTTTTATTTTTTGAGACAGAGTCTCACTCTTGCCCAGACCAGAGATCAGTGGCATGATCGTGGCTCACTGCAACTTCTGCCTCCTGGGTTCAAGTGATTCTCGTGTCCCAACCTCCTGAGGACCTGGCATTACAGGCATGAGCCACTGTGCCCGGCCAATTTTTGTATTTTTATTAGAGATGGGGTTTCATCATGTTGGCCAGGCCGTTCTTCAACTCCTAGTCTCAAGTGATCCACCCTCAGCTTCCCAAAGTATTGGGATTCCAGGCCTGAGCCACTGCACCCAGCCTGAAATATGTTGACATAGGGCATCGTAACACTAGTTTCTCAACTTTGTTTTTTTTCCCCCAATTTCAGCTGTAATTTTAGGTTTCCTTTTCAGACAAGTAGGAATTTCACCAAATTTTAGGGGAAAAAAAAAGAAAAAAGAAACAGTTGCATTAAACAATAACAACAAAAACAACAAAACACTTCCTGGGAACTTGTCCTCATTTATTCCTGCTTCTCTCAGTTTCCTCAAGGGAAAATTTCCATTTATCTCCTTTCATCCTTTGGAGTCTTGCTTTCTTTTCTTTTTTTTTTTTTTTAATTATTTAAGTTCTGGGGTACATGTGTGCAACATTGCAGGTTTGTTGCATAGGTATACATGTGCCATGTTGGTTTGCTGCACCCATCAACTCATCATTTACACTGAATATTTCTACATTTATATATGTGTGAAACTATCCATAATATGATCTTTTGTTTCGTTTTGTTTTTTTGATATGGAGTCTCGCTCTGTTGCCAGGCTGGCGTGTAGTGGCGAGATCTCGACTCACTGCAATCTCCCGCCTCCCGTGTTCAAGCCATTCCCCTGCCTCAGCCTCCCGCGTAGCTGGGACGACAGGCGCCCACCACCACACCCAGCTAATTTTTTGTATTTTAGTAGAGACAGGGTTTCACCGTGTTGGCCAGGATGGTCTCGATCTCCTGACCTCTTGATCCGCCCGCCTCAGCCTCCTTAAGTGCTGGGATTACAGGCATGAGGCACCCTACCTGGCCCATATAATACAATCGTAACCCAAAATGTGTGTGTGTGTGTGTGTGTGTGTTTTGTTTTTAACAGAGACGTGTAGGAAACAGGTCGAAAATTTGAGGCTGGCTGATCAGAGAGTTTTGAGTTTTAGTACTATATGTGGGTGATACTTGAAGCCATGGAAATTGCCAAATTTGTCAAAGGAAAGGGAGAGTGTGACTAACAGAACGTTAGAGAAATTTCAGATTTGAGGGCAAAGAGAAAAATCTAGAGAAGAAATTTCCTGTAATGTAGAAGAAGAAGTACAGTTCACTGAAGCCATGTTTCATGCAGGATGAAGTCTAATCCTATGCAGGGATCACTGAAAGGTGACTGTTGAGAAAAAGTTATTAATATTGGCTATGAGGAAGTTTCTTTTTTTTTTTTTTTTTTTTTTTTTTGAGACGGAGTCTCGCTCTGTCGCCCAGGCTGGAGTGCAGTGGTGCGATCTCGGCTCACTGCAAGCTCCGCCTCCCGGGTTCACGCCATTCTCCTGCCTCAGCCTCCCGAGTAGCTGGGACTACAGGCGCCCACAACCGCGCCCGGCTAATTTTTTGTATTTTTAGTAGAGACGGGGTTTCGCCGTGGTCTCGATCTCCTGACCTTGTGATCCGCCCGCCTCGGCCTCCCAAAGTGCTGGGATTACAGGCGTGAGCCACCGCGCCCGGCCGGAGGAAGTTTCAATAGCATAGTGGAATAGTAAAGCAGGTCACAGGGAACAAGGAGAGAATCTCCTCTGAGGAAGTGAAGATGAGCAGTGCTGATCACTTGAGCCCAGGAGTTCAAGACTAGCCTGGGCAACATAGCCAGACCTCATCTCTACAAATAATAAAAATTGGCATGGTGACACACGTCTGTGATCCTAGCTACTTGCGAGGTTGAAGTGGGAGAATTGCTTGAGCTTGGGCAGTTGAGGATGCAGTGAGCCATGAGTGCGCCACTGCATTCTAGCCTGGGTGACAAAGCAAGACCCCTTCTCAAAAATAAATAAGATTTGTGACTTTTACTATATTTTGTAATTTCTATTCTTATTTTATTTTTCTTATTTTTTTAATTCTCTTGTAGCTCCTATTCCTTTAAAATGAGTAGTGAATTTAGGTAAATCTTCATAATTAAATTAGAAATAATTATATGTACATGATTTCCCTGAAAACATTTGGGAGTAAAATGTATTAGAGAAGCACTGAAAGATTACGGAAGATCTTTTCTTTTTTCCTCCCCCAAAGTGCCCGATTCCTCTCTATCTAGTACATACTGAATTTTTGTCTTGGAAACCTTTTAGTAGCGCACACTTGCTAGTATTTATGATACCGTTTAGTAATTGGTCAACTTAGAGGCTAAACCTTTGGTTATAATCTCATTATATGATAATTTCTGTATTTATACTTTTTTCCCGAAATGTTACATTTGTCTTTTAAAATTCCACTTAATTGTGTTCTAATCCTTAACTTAAAAGTTACCAGCTTGCAAACATTTGCTATTCCAGGCTCTATATTTCTCAGTATACTTTCAGGGTTTCTTTATCCCTTTCCACTGGCCTTATTTCTTGTTTGTTTGGTAAGTATGAAAAAATAAAATTGGGAGACTGAAAAAAAAAAAAACAATAGAATTATGAGGATGATGATATTTTAATCCCACTAGTCTATGTAAGCATACGAGGAGTTAAAGTCCCTTCACAAGGAGGTGTTACAATTTGTTTTTCCCCCAGAACAGACCAATTATAGACTTAGTTACATTTATAAGCTATGTTTTAGCTTTTCTTTCCTATTGGATTTTGTAACTGCGACAGTCCAAAAGAGTTGATGAGCACAATGAGTTAAGTCCCAGGGCCAGAGGTGGTGTTTTCAAGCTTAGAAATTGTGGGGGTTGGGAGGAGGTTGGAAATTGGCTCCTGAAGTTTTATTCTTAGGCTAAAGCCTAGCATTAATTATTTGGATATAGTCACTAGGTGTAATCACAAGTGCCAGTTTGTTTTAGCTGATCTCACTTGAGGTACAATTTGGTCTGAGAAAGTACTAGATCATCTCTGCACAAGAGATGTCTTGCAGAGTACCCTCCCCACCTCCGAAAGAAGTAAATTAATTGAGCTTTTACTCAGGTGAATAAATCAATGTGAGTAAGATGGAAAAATACAAAATGCTTATGGCTTCTTTTTGTTTTCCAGTGTTCTGGACTTGGTGCCTCTTTTTGTTATATGCTTTCCTATTTAGTTGGGAGACCAGTTGTATACAAATACCTAACAGAAAAAGCAGTAAAATGGTCACAGCAGGTAAACATGTATTGTTAAATTATTTGATGTAACTCTTTGTTAATTGGAAGTTCTGTGTTTAGTGCCTACATGAATTAGCTACATGTATTAAACCAACACAAATTATTTCCTAAGTTAACTCAAGTAATGACAACTATCTTCTGACCAAATAAAAATAGGTGGTAGGCAAATATGAATGTTAATAATTTCACATACAAATGTTTTAGACCTGTGATGGTAATTTTTATCCGAGTAAATTCAATCAGAGAAGTCAAAGTGTCAGTATAAAGGCATCCACATAATTAGATACCTATCCATTTTATGTTAATGCAGTATTCTGTGAATGTGTTATTGAAACACTTGTATCAGCCAACTCCCAGTGCATTTTTTTCTTTTCTTTTTTTTTTGAGACACAGTCTCACTCTGTCACCCAGCTGGAGTGCAGTGGCATGACCTCGGCTCACTGCAGCCTCTGCCTCCCGGGTTCAAGCAATGCTCCTGCCTACCTCACCTCCCGAGTAGCTGGGATTATGGGCGCATGCCACCACGCCTAGCTAATTTTTTGTATTTTTAGTAGAGACAGGGTTTCACCATGTTGGCCAGGCTGGTCTCAAACTCCAGACCTCAGGCGACCCTCCTGCCTCAGCCTCCCAAAGTGCTGGGATTACAGGCATGAGTCACCACTGGCCTTTTTTGATCTTTTCTTTTCTCTTTTTTCATTTCTTTTCGAGTCGGAGTTTCGCTCTTGTTGCCCAAGCTGAAGTGCATCTTGGCTCGCTGCAACCTCCGCCTCCCGGAGGTTCTCCTGTCTCAGCCTCCCAAGTAGCTAGAATTTCAGGCGCATGCCACCACTATTTTTAGTAGAAATGCGTTTCACCATGTTAGCCAGGCTGTTCTCGAACTCCTGACCTCAGGTGATCTACCTGCCTTGGCCTCCCACAGTGCTGGGATTACAGGCATGAAACACCATGCCAGCCTGATCATTTGTCTTGGGTATGCTCTGAAGTATCAGGAATGAGAATTTGAAATAAGGTGTTTATATTAAGCGACTTATTTTGAAGTTGTCCTCAATCTGATGCTAATTATTTTCTTTCTTATGACAGGTTGACCGTCATAGAGAACATCTCATTAACTACATTATATTTTTGAGAATAACACCATTTCTGCCTAATTGGTTTATTAATATCACATCTCCTGTGATAAACGTGCCATTGAAAGTTTTTTTTATTGGTACTTTTCTAGGTAAGGCCTCTGGTTCTTGCCGTGTATGAGCTACTGTGTACATATCTAACAGTGTCCAGCTGATCTAGATTGCATGCATACTCTCTGCAGATATGTCAGCACCATCTAGAACTCTTGGGCACAAAGCCTGGCTGTATAAATAGATACTCAGAAGTGTTTGTTGCATCGTGTTGATTTAGGTTATTTTTGTGTTGCCTCTTTAAAGAAGAGCACTTTCTACTGTATATCGTTTTAATAATAGAGAGTTAAGCAGGACCTATAACCTCCAGTTCCTCTAAGTGGAGAGGAAAAAAAATCAAATTGCCTTTTTTGAGCAATTTTCTCCTATGTCCCTTCCCCTTCCCCTTCCCTGAGTCTCACCCTGTCGCCCAGTCTGGAGTGCAGTGGCGCAATCTCGGCTCACTGCAAGCTCCGCCTCCTGGGTTCACGCCATTCTCCTGCCTCAGCCTCCCGAGTAGCTGGGACTACAGGCACATGCCACCACGCCTGGCTAATGTTTGTATTATTAGTAGAGATGGGGTTTCACCATGTTGGCCAGGCTGGTCTCAAACTCCTGACCTTGTGATCCTCCTACCTCAGCCTCTCAAAGTGCTGAGATTACAGGCGTGAGCCACCATGCCCAGCCCTTTTTTTTTTTTTTAAATGTTGCTTTGGCAAAATGGTTCCTTTGTGTTTTTTGGAGTTTTTTTTTTGTTTATTTGATTGCTTGTTTTGTTTTTGAGACAAGAGTCTTGCTCTGTCACCTAGGCTGGAGTGCAGTGGCACGATCTCGGCTCACTGCAAGCTCCGCCTCCTGGGTTCATGCCATTCTCCTGCCTCAGCCTCCTGAATAGCTGGGACTACAGGCGCCCGCCACCACGTCCAGTTAACTTTTTGTATTTTTAGTAGAGATGGGGTTTCACCTTGTTAGCCAGGATGGTCTTGATCTGACCTCGTGATCCACCCGCCTCGGCCTCCCAAAGTACTGGGATTACAGGCCTGAGGTACCGTGCCCGGCAGCAAATTTGTTTCCTAATGAAGTATTAAAATGTTGAACTTGAATTTTCAGGAGAGAATTGATCCTATTTTTCCTTTTATTGAGACCAGCATTTATTGTGGATGTTATAAAAAATATGGAGAAAGCAATGATCAACAAACGTTCTTGCTTTTAAAGAAATAATACTTGATTTTGCTTTTTTGTGTGTTTTTTTTTGTGTGTGTTTTTGTTGTTGAGACAGAGTTTCGCTCTTATTGCCCAGGCTGGAGTGCAATGGTGCTGTCTCGGCTCACTGCAACCTCTGCCTCCCAGGTTCAAGCGATTCTCCTGCCTCAGCCTCCCGAGTAGCTGGGATTACAGGCATGCACCACCACGACCAGCTAATTTTGTATTTTAGTGGAGATGGGGTTTCTCCATGTTGGTCAGGCTGGTCTTTAACTCCCAACCTCAGATGATGCGCCCGCCTCAGCCTCCCAAAGTGCTAGGATTATAGGCGTGAGCCACCGTGCCCGGCCTTAATTTTGAAATTAATCAGTGGACATGAAGATTATTTATATATTTTGTGAATTCTCATTCTTTGTAGGAGTGTTTTGCTTTTCTTTCCAGTTCAAGTTGAATTGTTTAGATGTCCAAAAAAAAAATGAGCAGATTTCTTACATATTGAATATCTATGAAAGCTTAATTCTTGTAAGAATATTTCTTTTTGAAAAGAATAACCAAAATCAATTATTTATTGTTACTTTAAAAAAAATTAGCCGGGCGCGGTGGTTCACACCTGTAGTCCCAGCACTTTGGGAGGCCAGGGTGGGCGGATCACAAGGTCAGGAGTTCAAGACCAGTCTGACCAATATGGTAAAACCCTGTCTCTACTAAAAATACAAAAATTAGCTGAACGTGGTGGCAGGTGCCTACAGTCCCAGCTACTCAGGAGGCTGAGGCAGGAGAATCACTTGAACCCGGGAGGCAGAGGTTGCAGTGAACCGAGATTGTGCCACTGCGCTCCAGCCTGGGTGACAGAGCAAAACACTATCTCAAAAAAAAAAGAAAGAATGAAAAGAAAAAAAAAATTGACAAACTGACATCAGCATGGGGAATTTTTAATTTTGTTAAATGTCATCCATGGAATCTAAAGAGAGAATTTTTGTTTCTATCTCCATTTTACAGGTGAAAGGCAGAGATTTAATTTTAGCTTTGGCTAAAGTAATATCTTTCCCTTTGTTTTGATTTTTAGTGAAATGCCATCATTCTGTATGTACTTTTGTATGCACTGCTCTCTTTACTCACACTTTCAGTATCTTAAACTTGAAATTGCTAGAACAGACCTCCCTCCCTCCCTCCTTCCCTCCCTCCCTCCTTTTTTCCTTTCCTTTCCGTTTTCCTTTCCTTTCCTTTGCTTTCCTCTGTTGTCCTCTCCTCTCCTTTCCTTCCCTCCCCCTCCCCCTTCCCCTCCCCCTCCCCCTCCCCCTTCCCTCCCCTCCCCCTTCCCCTCCCCCTTCCCCTCCCTTCCCCCTTCCCCCCCTTCCCCCTCCCCCTCCCCCTTCCCCTCCCCCTTCCCCTCCCCCTTCCCCTCCCCCCCCTCCCCTCCCCTCCCCTCTCCTCTCCTTTCCTCTCCTTTGACAGATTTTCTCTTTCTGTCACCCAGGCTGGAGTTCAGTGGCGTGATCTCAGTTCACTGCAACCTCTGCCTCCTGGGTTCAAGTGATTCTTCTGCCTCAGCCTCCCAGGTAGCTGGGATTACAGGTGTGCGCCACCATACCCAGCTAATTTTTGTATTTTTAGTAGAGATGGAGTTTCACCATGTTGGCCAGGCTGGTCTCAAACTCCTGACCTCAAGTGATCTGCCTGCCTTGGCCTCCCAAAGTGCTGGAATTACATGCACGAGCCGCTGTGCCAGGCCTTTTTTTTTCTTTTAAGGTTTTTGATAGTCTGGGTGTGGTGGCTCATACCTGTAATCCCAGCACTTGGGGAGGCTGAAGTGGGCGAATTGCCTGAGCCTGGGAGTTATAGAGACCAGCCTGGGCAATATGGCAAACCCCCCTCTCTTGACAAAAATTACAAAAAGTGGCTGGGTGTGGTGGTACATGCCTGTAGTCCCAGTTGCTCAGAAAGCTGAGGTGGGAAGATCACCCAAGCCTGGGGAGACTGAGGCTGCAATGAGTTGATAGAGTCAAACTCTTGGGGGGGTGGCGGGGAAGCATTTTTGATAAATATAAAATTATTCTCTGGGCACTTATCTTGGGTTTTTAAAATTCATTATCCTGGCTGGGCATGGGGACTCATGCCTGTAATCTCAGCACTTTGGGAGGCTGAGGTGGGCGGATCATCTGAGGTCGGGAGTTCAAGACCAGTCTGACCAACATGGAGAAACCCCATCTCTACTAAAAATACAAAATTAGCTGGGTGTGGTGGTGCATGCCCGTAATCCCAACTACTCAGGAGGCTGAGGCAGGACAATCGTTTGAACCCAGGAGGCAGAGGTTGCAGTGAGCCAAGATCGCACCATTGCACTCCAGCCTGGACAACAAGAGGGAAACTCCGTCTCAAAATAATAAAAAATAAAAGATCATTATCTTTAAGAGGTGATTAGGAAAGATTGAATTCTTTATATGGAAATAAACTTGAGCTTTAAATTCTTAATTTTTTTTCCCAAAATGAAAATAGCTCTATTAAGAAACTTTATGCCCACAGAAAATTTTAATTTTTTAAAAACAGTTGGTGGTTTTTACTGTATCTTTTTATTTTTTATTTCAGGTGTTGCACCTCCTTCTTTTGTAGCCATTAAGGCAGGAACAACACTGTATCAACTTACAACAGCAGGAGAAGCTGTTTCCTGGAACTCAATATTTATTCTGATGATCTTGGCTGTGCTTTCTATTCTGCCAGCCATCTTCCAAAAAAAACTAAAGCAGAAATTTGAGTAAAAATAATCATCTGATTTTTAGTTTTGCTGTCATCACCATCTCAGGATTAACAGGTGCATCCATTTATGTTTTAAAATCACCTCTTCAGTAATTAAACAAGGAATTTGTAAAATAAAATTTCCTGTCAGATAAAGTAATACATTTAAGCGACAAGGGGAGAAGAAAGTAAAAATGGAAATTGGTATACTGTGAAAAGTGCTATCAATAAGGTAGACATCTTAGACATAAAGTATTATGGTATTAAGGTAGACATCTTAGACATAAAGTATTATACCAAGGGTAGCTATAGATAATAGTAGTGTGGTAGGAAATTGTTGATCCAGCTAATTCATTTGATTTAATTGAATATTTTTTCTCTTTAATAACTAAAATAGATATTCTTAAATTCTAGATTTTTTAAAGTAGTGTTGCAAGTTTTGTTAATGTTAGGCTTTTTTCAGAGCATAAACTGGAAAACTTAAAAAGAGATTTACATTTTCTTCCTCTTTTGAGGTAATGGATTTGTTTGGAAATTGCATGTTAGTAGACGACTGAATATAGAAAGGATATCAAGTTGTCTATTTTGTTAATTTCATTTTTGTTTTTTATCTTCTAGATTTTTATCATGGATTAGTCTGAAATTTAAAGTTCTGGCCAGTCTGTTTTCTTTTATCTTGTAGTTTTTACAGTATTTTCACTGTGCATGTACAAAATTGGTATTATATAACTGTATCATATTTGATATTGTTAATTTTTTTCTTTTTTTTTTTTTTGAGATGGAGTCTTGCTGTTGCCCAGGCTGGACTGCAGTGGCATGATCTCGGCTCACTGCAAATTCCGCCTCCTGGGTTCAAGCGATTCTCCTGGCCCAGCTTCCTGAGTAACTGCGATTACAAGTGTGTGCCACCATGCCCAGCTAATTTTTGTGTTTTTAGTAGAGATGGGGTTTCACCATGTTGGCCGGGCTGATCTTGAACTCCTGACCTCAGGCTGTCTGCCCACTTCCATCTCCCAAAGTGCTGGGATTACAGGCTTGAGCCACTGCGCCCGGCCGTGGTATTGATAATTTATATTCAGATAATTTGTTATGTCTCTTTAATATCTCAAAAGGGGCTCTAAAAAGCAAACACTTAAGAGTTTGTAGTTTTTAGACATTAAGTTAATTATTTTAAACAATGACAGCAAAACACAAGTGATTAAATATAGTTTATTTGTTCCAATGACTAAATTTTACCTCATTTATTAATCTGGTTATTAAAGAATACATTTAATAATGTGTAATTATTCTTTTTATGCATAATACACCTAGAAAAATGCCTTTTGTTTCTATTGATGGCTTTTTTGTTTGGAGCTGCTTTTGATTACTTATTGCAGTTTCCCAATTTAGTCTTTTTCTAACTCACAAAGTAAAATTAACTGATCACATGGCAACTACTATATTTAAATAGTTCTAGAAAAATGAAAGTGCTTTTTGCTGCTTGGTAAATGGGTAATGCCCTTGATTCCTTGATTGTAGGACATAGCTGATCTAAAGTGTTCTGTCAGTTTTACCTTCACCCATGACTCATTATGTTGAAAAGTCCTTTAGCTATGAGAAATCCTTGTATGTTTTTATTATGAGAGGTATAATCATCCTCAAAAGCCTGTTTTTACTACATGATGTGGACTGATTATTTTTTCTATCACAGTATTAACAGATAGATTTTATTGTAAATACAAAGAAAATATATTGATTATTATAGTATTCTTATGTCAGCTGGCCTTTTGTGTGAGATTATTATTTCTAGCAAGGCTTTCTTCCTTTCTTATTGCCCAGAGACTGATAAATCCTTTGTTATTTTTACACATAAATTAAAACATAGCCTTTTTGGACAAATTCACTAAATATTACTGTATAAAATGTAATTGAGTAAATTTTTATCAGAATTTTAAAAATGAGCTTAGACTCAGAAGCTTCACTATTTACTCCAGCGTGTGTAAATTGTACTTACTCTATTCTCAGAGTATATTTACTGTCCTTATCATTGATTCTTTCCCTTTGCTAATTTTTTTTTTTGTTAATGGTAGCTACAACTTTAGGTGGGGTATATTTTCTTCTCCTAAGAGAATAGACAGTTTTTCCAGATTCATCATCATTGACTGTCAAGAAAGGACCCTTCAGCAGGCTGTACCCTCAGTGCAGTTGATGGCCTGTCTTCATGGATTCATAGACTCGGCCTGATGCCACATGTAAATTCAAGCTTTGGCTTGACAATTATACGGTAACAACCACAAGAAGACAAGCATCTGTGGTGCGGAGACAAGCAGGCTAACTAGAAGTTGACATGCTAAGAAAGTGAAACTGTTCTTTCTTAATTAATGGTCTTTCTCTGGAACTCTGTTACTTTGAGTATAATATTTCCATGACACTTAGTAAATGCAAGCTAAAATGTAATAATAATAATAATAATAAATTGTACTGGAGAAACCTAAATGTCACATTTGGGATTTATTTCATGGAAGTACTTAGATTAAAAAACTCTGGCCGGGCAAGGTGGCTCACGCCTTTGATCCCAGCACTTTGGAAGGCGGAAGCAAGTGGATCACCTGCAGTCAGGAGTTCGAGACCAGCCTGGCCATCATAGTGAAACCCATCTACTAAACATATGAAAAATTAGCCAGGTGTGGTGGCATACGCCTATAGTCCTAGCTACTTGGGAGGTTGAGGCACGAGAATCGCTCAAACCCAGAAGGTGGAGGTTGTGGTGAGATGAAATTGCGCCACTGCATTCCAGCCTGGGTGACAGAGCCAGACTCTTCTCAAAAAACTAAAAACAAATTCGTCGTTGAATAAAAGTATATTCTTAAATTCTGGGCCAGACGTGGTGGCTCAAACACCTGTAATCCCAGCACTTTGCGAGGCAGAGGCAGGTGGATAACGAGGTCAGGAGATCAAGACCATCCTGGCTAACATGGTGAAACCCCATCTCTACTAAAAATACAAAAAATTAGCTGGGTGTGGTGGTGGGCACCTGTAGTCCCAGCTACTTGGGAGGCTGAGGCAGGAGAATGGCGTGAACCTGGGAGGTGGAGCTTGCAGTGAGCCGAGATGGCGCCACTAAACTCCAGCCTGGGCAAGAGTGCGAGACTCAAAAAAAAAAATTTTAACTTTTTTCTTTTTTTTTTTTTTTCCAGATGGAGCCTCACTCTGTCACCCAGGCTGGAGTGCAATCTCGGCTCACTGGAAGCTCCGCCTCCCGGGCTCACACCATTCTCCTGCCTCAGCCTCCCAAGTAGCTGGGACTACAGGCGGCCGCCACCACGCCCAGCTAATTTTTTGTATTTTTAGTAGAGACAGGGTTTCACTGTGTTAGCCAAGATGGTCTCTATCTCCTGACCCCGTGATCCGCCCACCTTGGCCCCCCAAAGTGCTGGGCGTGAGCCACGGCGCCCAGCTGAAATATTTAAAACTTGTAATTCTTGGTTTTTGAGGATTTTTTTTTTTTTTATTTTTTAGACGGAGTTTTGCTTTTGTTACCCAGGCTGGAGTGCAATGACGCGGTCTCAGCTCACCACAACCTCTGCCTCTCGGGTTCGAGCGGTTCTCCTGCCTCAGCCTCCCGAGTAGCTGGGATTACAGGCATGTGCCACCACACCCAGCTAATTTTGTATTTTTAGCAGAGATGGGGTTTCTCTATGTTAGTCAGACTGGTCTTGAACTTCTGACCTCAGATGAGCCACCCTCCTTGGCCTCCCAAAGTGTTGGGATTACAGGCGTGAGCCACCATGGCCAACCGGCTTTTGGGGATTCTAAAGCAATTATTTAAATTGTTGAGGTAAGGCTGGGCACAGTGGCTTATGCCTGTAATCCCAGCACTTTGGGAGGTCAAGGTGGGCAGATTACCTGAGGTCAGGAGGTTGAGACCAGCCTGGCCAACATGGTGAAACCCTGTCTGTACTAAAAATAACAAAAATTAGCTGGATGTGTTGGTGAATGCCTGTAGTTCCAACTACTCAGGAGGCTGAAGCAGGAGAATCGCTTGAAACCAGGAGGTGGAGGTTGCAGTGAGCCGAGTTAGCACCACTGCACTCCAGCCTGGGCTACAGAGTGGCACCCTGTTGCTAAATAAATAGTTGAGGTAAGTAAATATTTCTAGTATATAGAATGAGTTATTTATAAAGGAATATTTTTAAAGGTCTCTGGCTTTTTGAAAATGGGTATAATCAAAAGGGCTGAAGCTTTCCTGATAATCATTCAGTGGTCATACTTAAGATGTTTAGAAGATACCTCTTATTGCAGTTTTCAGTATTCTGATTATTATTTTTCTTTTATCTGGGACAAACTTAGTCTGGGTGACTTGAGGCAGGATATTGCTTAAGCTCTCGTCCTCATTTTTCTCATCTAGAAAAAAAGAGCTCTAAGGTCCAGGATCCTTACAGCTCAGACATGATAGGATTCTCTGAAATTAATGAAAAATTATTAAGTTGCCCCAATTCAGAATATTAAATTAAGCGTACCTTGCTTTGTATAGCTTGTTTTACAGCTTACAATATACTTTCACACACATTTAAGTAAATTAATGTTCTTTTTTTTTTTTTTTTGAGACAGCCTTGCTTTGTCACCCAGGCTGGAGTGCAGTGGCGTGATCTCGGCTCACTGCAACCTCCACCTCCCGGGTTCAGCCAATTCTCCTGCCTCAGCCTCCCGAGTAGCTGGGATTACAGGCATCCGCCATCGTGCCCAGCTAATTTTTGTATTTTTAGTAGAGATGGGGTTTCCCCATGTTGACCAGGGTGGTCTTGAACTCCTGACCTTGTGATGCACCCACCTCGGCCTCCAAAGTGCTGGGATTACAGGCGTGAGCCACTGTGCCCAGTATTTTTTTTTTTTTTTTTTTGAGACTGGGACTTGCTACGTTGCCCAGGCTGGTCTTGAACTCCATGGCTTAAGCAGTCCTTGCCTTGGCCTCCGGAGTAGCTGAGATTACAGATGTGTGCCACCATACTATTTATAATGAAATACTCAACCACATCGAAAAACAAAACGAGCTTCTTCTTGGATGTTTTATTGCCATTTATTGCATTGATTTCCATTTTATTACTTTGCTCGTAATACAAAGTAAGATAAAATGAGAATTCCATAGAGGTATAAAGAGACTCTTCTAGAGTTCTTTAATTCTTGAAATAGCACTTGGTATGACAAACCATAATATCAAGTCATCTGTTTGCTACTATGTGTTAGCAGGGATTGCTCTTTGAGAATAGAAGGTGGGGGAACCTCACTTAACTGTTATGTTTTCGGGTTCCATCTGAGCTGTATGGTGCCTTATCCAGCTTCTAGAGCTGTGCCAAGTGAGCACTCTTCATTATGACCAGACTGCTCAATACAGTGCTGGGAGTAGAAATTGACCCAGTATTCACCATTATGGTTCTGGGGTAACCAAAGTCTGAAGGCAGTTTTAAAAACTACCCTCAGATTAGCATTAGAACACTATGTTATGGAAGCAGTGTGAAGGAATACATTGTCCTATATATTGTATATTTTACATGGAAAACTAGTCATATTTTAATAGTCTCAACTTTCTAGAGTAAACCTATAAAAACCCATCATGAATCACTGGAAGATGGTGTTTTTGCCCATTATTAACTGACACTACTAAAAGTGGATTCTTTCATGGTAAGCTAACAGGCCTCAGGCAAATATTAATGTGTTGATTCAAAACTCAGTACCTTTCACCTCTGAGACAGGATTGCCTAGTAACTAAATCACTAGGGTGGCCCTTTTTTTTTTTTTTTTTTTTTTTTTGGACAGTCTGGTTCTGTTGCCCATGCTGAAGTACAGTGGCAGGATCTCGGCTCACTGCAACCTCCGCTTCCCAAGAATCAGAACATTGCCAGTACTTTTATCTACGTATATGTTCCTCCCCAGTCTGATCCCCCACCCTACACATCCCTTTTTTTTCTTTTTTTAATTGAATGTAATTTAATTCTTTTTTTTTTTTTGAGATGGAGTTTTGCTCTTGTTATCCAGGCTGGAGTGCAATGGTGTGATCTCAGCTCACCGCAGCCTCCACCTCCCGGGTTCAGGCGATTCTCCTGCCTCAGCCTCCTGAGTACCTGGGATTACAGGCATGTGCCACCACGCCCAGCTAATTTTTGTATTTTTAGTAGAGATGGGGTTTCTCCATGTTGGTCAGGCTGGTCTCAAACTGCCAACCTCAGGTGATCCGCCCGCCTCAGCCTCTGAAAATGCTGGGATTATAGGTGTGAGCCACCGTGCCTGGCCCTGGCCCCCCCCCCCTTTTTTTTTTTAACGGAGTCTCGCTCTGTCGCCAGGCTGGAGTACAATGGCACTATCTTGGCCCACTGCAACCTCTGCTTCCCGAGTTCAAGTGATTCTCCTGCCCCAGCCTCCTGAGTAGCTGGAACTACAGGTGCCCACCACCACGTGCCCTGCTAATTTTTGTATTTTCAGTAGAGATGGGGTTTCACCATGGTGGCCAGGCTGGTCTCAAACTCATGACCTCAGGTGATCCACCCACCTTGCCCTCACAAAGTGCTGGGATTACAGGTGCCCGCAACCACGCAAGGCTAAATTTTTGTATTTTTAGTAGAGGTGGGGTTTTGCCATGTTGGCCAAGCTGATCATGAACTCCTGATATCAGGTGATCTGCCAACCTTGGCCTCCAAAGTGCTTGGATTACAGGTGTGAGCCACCTTCCCAGCCTAGGGTAGACTGTTTCATTGGTGTTAGAACACCAGTCAAGGGACTGGGCGCGGTGGCTCACGCCTGTAATCCCAGCTCTTTGGGAGGCCGAGGCATGTGGATCACCTGAGGTCAGGACTTCGAGACCAGCCTAAAATGGCAAAACTCCATCTCTACTAACAATAAAAAATTAGCTGAGCATGGTGGCGCATGCCTGTAATTCCAGCTACTCTGGGAGGCTGAGGCAGGAGAATCCCCTGAACCCGGCAGATGGGGATTGCAGTGAGCTGAGATGGCATCATTGCACTCCAATCTGGGGGACAGAAGAGGACTCTGCCTCAGAAAACAAAAACAATTCTAAAGAGCCTTATTGGAAGGAGAGGCATCAGTTCAGATCTGAGGAGCTGGAGTTGAGTTCAGAGGCCCAGTGAGTGAGATTTTTGGGAGAAGTGAGTAAACACGTTTCCTGTTTTTGGTGGAAGTGCTGCCTAAAGCAAACCTTGGGCATCAGTTGGCTTCAGCTGTGAATGTGGGAAGGGTTGGTTACAAACCAGATGGTATCTGAGCAGGCCTTAACATATAGGGAAGATTCTGGGAAAACAAAGGGCTACCTGAGTCAGGTGTGTGGGGCAGAAACATTCATTTGATATATTGAGCTGAAGCTGGGCATTTGGGGCAGGCCGCACTCGTGTCCTGATACTCTATACAGTGTGGCTGCTGTCAGTGAGGGTTTATTGATTGCAAGCAACAAATGCTGGCTGGCTTAAGCAAAAGGGAGAGGCTAGAAC